CTCAGACCCCTCTCTGCAATCTCCGCGCATCTGAGGTCATAATTAGACTTACTAGGACCAGAAGGAAAATGTACTCTAAGTTATCATAGAAATGATAAAGCTTAATCTAATGATCAAAAAAGAACACAGGTGCAAAATAAGGGCTTGGTTAGACAGTATCTCTCCCTTCCTCACCCCTTATATTAACAATTTGTACCCTTTTGATCACTGGTATCTCAAAGGCCTCTTTTCCATCCTGATTGCCTTGAATTTAACCACCCCTAGGTTTACTTTCTCCCTTCATTCTTCCCTCCCTCCTTCTTTTACTCTGTTTTGTTTGTTTGTTTGTTTGTTTTTGTGTCACACTGCAATTCTGGGAGTTTGACTTTGCCTATGAACCTTGCCCATGTGAGGGAAGTAAGTGGTCTAGTGGGTTTCTAGACTGACTTTCTCCTCTTATCTCTCTTTGAATTTCCCAGATAGTAGCAGTAGAAAGTTATCCAGCCTCCAAAGCAGTCTCTTGTCTTGTTAAGTCACATTCATTCACGTACTCAATAAGTATTTATTCAGTGCCCATTCTGCACAGGGTGTTGGGTACACCATTTGAACAAGCTCTTCCAACTCTAGTATGGAACTTACCCTGGAGGGGAGATACAGATAATAAAATAGTTTCAAGCAATGAAACAACTGTGGAGAAAATAAAGCAGGAGATGGGGCTGAGGTCGCAGTGAGGGTCAAGTTCAGTGAAGCCTGTCTGAGGAAGTGACATCTGAGCTAAGATGGGAGGGAAGGTCATGGACAAATCTGGGGAGAGAGAATTCCAGGCAGAGAAAACAGGGGACACAAAAGCTCCAAGGCAGGAAAGAGCAAGATGAATTTGCTGGGAACAACAGGACGCCTTCCACTGGGGACTGCCCTGAGGATGCCCATTTCACTTTGGTGCAGAACTTATCGGTCCTTTCTCTGCCTATATCGTGAGGCCAGAACACACGAAATTAAATGGGTTTAGGGTGGTAGGATTATATAACCTCCGGGGGAAGGTTACGTAACCTTCCCCCGGAGGTTATATAATCCTCAAGTGGGTCACACATGTGAGTTATTTTTAATTTCATTTCATTTGTCTTTGGCAAAAAGAAAGAAAATGCTTTGTGACTTTTGCCATTTCTATTATTTACAGTTCATGTCCTTCATTACTCGTTCCATCCTTCTTGATCAAGCTAAGCCTGGATTCCAGAAAATAAATGACTGCTGGGGTGGGGGGGTGGGGATGGGGGCAGCAAATACATGTCCTACTAAGCCACACAAATACTCATGTCTGTGTGGTTCTTATTGGCTAATTTATAAGATCAATCACAGAGAAAAAATAATGCCACAGTACACTGTTAGGTGTTATAACAATTTAATGTCGTTGGTATATCCTTCTTGAAGAAAAAAAAACTTAGCAGGATGGGTAAAATGTGAGGGACATTGATCTTTGCCTTTGTGTTCCTTTAGAGGAACAGAATGGGTGCTGATGTGTGAGGAAAGGCTCCAGTGAGAGGATGGAAGTCAATCCAGAGAGGTATCACTATCTTTCAAGGTCACTGAGGTACTCACTCTTACTTCTCCTTAGGGGACCTGGATACTAAAACATCTGAATATTTTCTCCTCATTCTACTTCAGCTTCATAACACTCCAGTGAAGTCAGCGAAACACTCCTTCTTCCTCACTCAGGCTGAGCGCCAATTAAAGGAAGCACTGGGCCCTGGTTTTCATTAACTACAGATATAAAAGCAACGGAGATCTACCAGTTGTCCTATTAAGCAATTAAGTTGCTGATAAGGTCTGGCATTAATAGGTCCAGGGAAAGTCAATGCTTGTTAGTTACTAGAGCTTAAGTATTTTTCCTTTGAAAGGAGGAGGGTGTAGGCCTAAAATAGACAACAGGAGCCCAGCGAGTGGCTGTGTCCAGGGCGGAATCTAAGGGTTCTCATCAGGCACTCTGTGTCTCGGTGGTCAACTTGAACCTTCCGTTCTGAAGTTCACTGTTCAGGAGCAAAGTGGGCATCACACCAAGAAAACATCCATGTAGGAAGGACCTTGAGGGAGGGATGAGTAGGAGCAGTGAGTGGGAGAGCCAAACAGGGAGAAATACTGGTCTCACGAATTCCTTCAGGGCCATGTTCAAAATATTTGCCAACTGGCTGGGATTGGCTCTAACTAATCCAAAGGGCTACCGGCTGTAAACAACCAGGGCTGTACCGGTGCACACAGGTTGAATTTCAGGCCTCCATGTATGTGTCACTCACATTTTTTATGTACCATATACCTCGCAAGTTTCAAAAGAAAAAAAAAATCCGATAGGTTTGTTCTGTGCTGTCGAAACTTCCTGAGTCCATAGATTCTATAAGGATTGTCCCCTGTACTTCATTTAATTGCTGACCTTACTATTATCATGCTACTTTGTATTAGAATAAGAACCTCCTTTAATTTGAATGTCAGAGTCAAGGAAATGGCTTTGCAGTCCGCCAAACCTGAGTTCAAATCCTGTCTTTACAATGATTATTCTTGGCGAAACACGTAACCTTTCAAAGACTCAATCTTCGAAAATCTATAAAAAGGTATATTATTCTTCCAGCACAAGATTTTGAGAGGATTAGTAATGGGATTTCCTCGGCAAAGTGCTCAGTGTGGTGCCTTGCTCATAGGAGGCTTTTGCAAAGGGAGTTCCGATATCTAGAATTTATAATAATTCACATAAGTGCCATTTGATAATTAGGCAATTTTATATGTGAGAAAATGGGTTTCGGAAGCAAAATAATAGTCTAAACTAATAGTAAAATAAGAAGTGTGCATAGATTAGAATACAGGGTTTTCTAAAACGTAAGTGATCACGAGAAAAAAGCCACAACTGAAATACCAGTTACAGCACATTCTTTTGTATTCATGAAATAGACCAGCTAATAAATTCTATTTCTGTTATCTTGATTTGAGTAACTATATGTGTGTGTGTGTATGTGTGTGTGTGTGTGTGTATAAAATCAGTTAATTGAATTTATATAAGACTATTTCATTAATTGGGAGTTTCACTGAAACAGCCACCTTGGTGCACACAATTACTTTGAAATGATAAAATTGTTCTTCACATTGGAGACCAATTGTAACGCAATGTTACTTACCTTATCCCACTTAATTCACAAAACTGGGATCCACCAATGGAGAAATGATGATCAGAAACTCCAAAACCAAACCAGTGTTTCAGTTTAAAAAGAAAAAGTTCAAGAGATGCCCCAACCCCACAGCCTTCCCCTAACTCCCGACTCCACACCCACGTCTAGGACCAGCATGAATTGTTCTTTCTTATCTTTCTTCTGTCTGGTCTCTGCGGAGAGGGAGATACTAGGGGACAGAAGGAAAGAGGTGCTCGTGGGGCAGCTCACAACACGGGAACAGAGGAGTTTGAGGCTGGGGAAGGGTGGCCTGGGCACACGAGACAGAGCCTGCTTGGTTGTAATACGAAAAGGCAAACTACGTGTTCAGAACACAGTCAGGTCCGAGGCCCGCTCCAGCTCCTGTTACCCAATTTTTCGCCATGCATCACAAAGTTTAACCCAAGGTTATAGCATAGATCTCATCCAACAAGAGTAGGAGGCGGCCTTCCTTCGATTTGAAAGAGAACCGTTAACATTTCTTCTAGAAAGAAAGAGCTTCATTTCTTGCCGTATGCCTGGGGTGTTTTAGCTTCCAAATTCTAAAGACGATGAGTAAAACAACTGCCGGGTGATCATAGCTGTTGTGTATGTGGCGGGGGGCGGGGGGCGGTATGTGCGTGCGTGTGTGTGTGTGAGCGTGCATGTGTGGCCTCATGTCTCCATATCCCCCAACCATTCAATCTGAAGGAAAGAGCCCTGACATTCAAGGTTCGGATAGGGTTTGTTTTCAGAAGAGCCAAAATTCCTAGGACTTGGGGAACTTGGCAAATCTCCACCCCGGGGAAACAGCAGTGACCTTGGAAGTCAGCTGTGTGGGTGCTTTGTGAGGAGAGGGGAAGAGTTTATTCAGATCCACTAACCAATATAATACGGCTCTGTGTTGGCCAATGGAAAGCCAAATGACGGTGTCGGCTAGGCCTCTTTCCCGGGAGCACCCTTCCTGAGTAAAGAGGAGCCAGGGGGTGACAGCAGGGCTCTGCAGACACAGGAACGTGGAGGAATTTGTTGGCAAAACTGAAAAGATTACGGAGTCTTCAAACAAAAGAAGTGCCAATATTTCAGTTCTGAGACCTCCCCACTACACAGGGTTCTAGGTTTATATAAACGTGCCTCTGCTTTCAAAAGACTAAGATTTCTTTAATTCTAAATGAGTTGGCAAGGTGTTCTAGTAATCAAAGTGAGGTTCTTGAATCATGTGGGAGGTTCTTAAGCCCCCAGCCCAGAATCCAAATCTGACTTTTCTCAAAATCCCCAGGAGATCTGATAGATGTCCAAGCTTCTCCCAGCTCCCTAGAGAGACATTATAACAGAAATGAACTTATGCCATCAGCCAGACCCCCACTTACATATCACCACACCAATGATTTCTTTAATTCTCCCTGATCATCATTCGGAGGGACTGATTTTAGCTGAGCATACTTGATTTGCAGGCAAACACTATCCCTGGAGAGCCTAGGAGCATTATTTTTAATCCCGTGATTTTAAAATGAACCCATTTTCTTAAAAGATAAAGAGCAGGGGGTAGGGGGAAGCTGTACATCATCTTGGTATGTGGTCTATTCTGTATTCGTGAAAGAAAACTGACCTCAAATTCCCTAAGGATGATGCGAAAATAAACCTTCTGCTGACCTTCTGTACATAGAAACAGGCTGTGTTCCTATTGAAATTCTCTAACTTCCAAAGGGCTGGGAAACCACAGCAGGAAAAGCTGAAATAGCCCCATTCCAGGCTGACCTGCAGGGCACTAAGAAACCCTGGTCAAGTGGGTCCCTGTGAGGCAGGCTCAGCCATACAGCTAGGTCTGGCCTTCAGAAGGGCCACAGTACTCACGGGGGGTTTGGATGGTGTCACTGGGCCGGCTTCGGGGGCTGGGACCATGGGGGTTCATGGCCCTCACAGCAAACTGGTAGTTGGTATCTGGATCGAGCCCCTTGATGACCATGGAGTCCATCTGGATCCGCTCTTGGATTAAGGTCCAGCTCTTGTCAAAATCTGGTCTATATCAATTAAAAAAACAAAAGAAAACAAGAAGCAGTTGTTGAGATACAGCAGAGGACAGGGAAGTTGCTGACTATGTAAACTCACAGCATTTGAACTCTGGAAGCAGTATTTATTAAAACGAATTAACATTTCCTATCTAAAAGTCATCTTGATTTTAAATCATAGGTCATCATTTTTAAGTCCCTGCCAATGAAAGCAAGTAGATCATTTT